CCTTATCCCAAACAACCCTAATATTCCCTCATAAGTATACTACAAACAATTTATATTAGATATTAGCACTATGATGCAATTTCCTTTATATATTGGTAAAACAAACACACTAAATATATCGCTGGCACACTCCACTTCGTTCGGGTAAGAAGACCATCTACTAGATTCGCGGATTTCCACTTGCAAGAACGCCAATACGGAATTTAAACATACAAAACGCTGCTTTGGTGAGGTAAGGTCTATCGTTCCTTGTTTTTTTTCTGAATTTGTTTAGTGTAAATATTTAGATGTGTAGTTTATTTAAAAAAATAAATAACGGGAAACACTGTCTCAGGCTTGGTACTGGTTGATATTCTTACTATTCTTACGAGGTTTGTTTAGGGGGGAGGGGAGGTCTATGTAAGGCTAGGAAAGGGTACTAGTCACGTGATTTAGCTGCACATAGGTTCGACACCGTAGAAACTGGGGGAGGGGGTTGTTTATGGCCTACAAGAACCTATATTCTCTCATTCTATTGAAATTCAGTAAAACCTTTATTTATATCTAAATACTAGAAACACTCAAGGGAGAGCACACCTCCGCCAAAGCAATAAGGTCACGCAATAAAAAATATTCACACTTAAAGAATTACATTAATATCACCCCTTCATTGAGTGCACTGGCCGTGTTCGGGTTTCGCTATCTCGCAATAATAACGAATCCTTTATAAAATCCTTTATAAAATGATAACTAATCCTTTATAAAATCCTGGACGCGGATCATGATTCGGATCACCACTAAAATTTAATGGCACCTCAGTTGGGTTAAGTCCCTGTTCATAACTATTGAGTTATAATGATCCGAATCACCACCACTGTATTGATAGGAGATACGAAGACCCATCGCATGACAAGCCTTCCTTATTGCTTATCAGTCAACCTGCATATGTATTCAATATCAGATAACAGTTTCTGATGTAACAACAAGATAATAAGCAGTATTCCTGGATATCCTTACATCAAAACTTAAATGAATATTTCATTTGGCTGTATCACAAAAAATTATATGCTAATTTTAAGTTTCACAATATCTCAAAGTTCAATATTCAACATCTGAGATTTTAAACAAAATAACATAATGCATATTCCCCATATTTAGTCTCTAATACCACAGGCATCACACATATATAAACAAATAATATCCATATATTTCCCCTACAATATCAGCCTTTAGGTCTCCAATACAATCGAAATACAAGAGCCTCAGGTTTAATCGCCTTTCTTAACACGCAGCTTCAGCCTAAATGAAATAAAAATTGTTTAAATGCGATTGTTTACTGAAATTCATAGGATTTACTCCTCACAACTCAACGCACTTCTTCAGTAATTCAGTTATTTATTGCTCCTTCTTTATATAGATAATGGCATCAAAGTTGGGCCAAGACACACCTTTGGAAAATAAATTATAAATATATGTTTATATATATATTTTAGTTAACCTGCTAACCAACAAACTAACCAACCCTACCAAATACAAGCATTTACCGTATTTGAAATAGAAAATGTTATCATATTTTTGGGGTGAGTATTATAAAATAATTTTGCCCAAAGGGCGTTTGTAGTTTCTTCAATGACAGTTCCAGATAAAGATATTTATGTACCATAATTAGATGGCTTAACATTGATAACGCACACACGCGCACTCCCATACATATATGTATAAAGTAATGGATAGATAACGGCCTTTTGTGTAGTATTTCCGAAACCTAAAACACTATGATACACTCTGATACATGTTTGCCCTTTATACGCAGTATTGAAACCTGTTGAAAATCTTTTCGGTTTGTATCACTTTGTATGTCTCTAAATTGATACAGTGTGATGCATTCTGAACAGCCAATCAGAGTGTGATATTTTTCGAATATACTTCACATAGTTTCTAGAAGGGATTTATATTTTCTCTAATTATGCCTCACAGCTTGTGTTTCCCAAATAAAACGTTTTTTGTGTATTCTTAGCAGTACATCAAGCCCGACCACAGCCAGCAGCTCCAGGCCCACCCAGGTCTCCGCCGTCGGGGAGCCACACCACTCTAGCACCCAGCCATACCCGTGGGCACTCACACCCGCAACAGACACTCGCTAAAGAGATAACAGACCAGTCAAATAGAGGACGACCAATCCTCTATAACGGTAAGAATTTGCACTGTGTCCAAGTCATGTGGTATTGACTTTAGTTCTTCAAAATCATTCTGTACCTTTATGATACAACCATACAGACTCAAAACATCAAAGAAAAGTCTGAGTATTTTGGTTTATTGATGTAATTCAGGCAATAATATCCTTCATCTTTGACACCGATCTATTATTTTGACTCAAATGAAACATATAACTTCCTCACGGAGAATATGGTTAGATGCAAAGCCTCAAATAACTCATAGATTTGGCATGACGAATGGTGTAAGCAATAAGAAATAATAAATAAGTAATAAATAAATAAATAATAAATAAATAAATAATAAATAATAAATAAATAAGAAGGTTTCGGCTGAATCTCAGAAATGACCTCGAAAGTTTCCACAACCTTACAAAGCGAAGATTGGTGTGTAAAGAGTTACGGAGTAGTCAGGTTCTTCTCCTCTTTATCTGAAGCAACCTCAATGTTTTGCTTGTAATTAATAATCATACCAGCACGTTTTTTTTTTCTTTTTCTTCTTTTCAATTTTGCGTCTACACAAACGTCGATGATCTGTTTACACAATACTTACTCAGATACAGTCATAAGCAATCACACAAAACCATACTCACACACCCACTCTCACAAAACGATACATTAAGAGCCATATCATATATTACCTTCGTCTAAGGGCGCATCTTTAGTATCATAATGCCAAACGAAATTGAAAAAAAAAGAAAAGTAATAATTTTGCTCCACCCACATCCAATAATAACGATTATAGTTCTGCACGCCGCCGCCCAGCCTATAGGCCTATCATCTCTTCTCAACGGCAGCAACAGACTTTCTAGAAGTAGTCCATGTCTGCTTCCTTTCCAAGAATTTCCATAATCGCACGACTGCCATTATTGCCTTTACTTGAAATCGCCTCAACCCTCAAGAAAAAAAAAAAAAAAAAAAAAAAACAACAAAAAAAAAACGTTAATATATTCAAGAAATGAAAGCAAAGCAGTGGGGTTTGCTTGACAGTTGCCAACTCGGTATCACCTTTCCATCTTGGTGAAAATCCTAGTCGGCAACTGCTAATGTGCCTACATGTATTAGAAATAATAATAGGATTTCGAAGTTCTCCTTTTTTTTTTTTTTTTTGTTCCTTTTTATTTTTTCATTTCACCATTGGCTGTACTGAACCATATTTAAAGAAAATATACGAGAGACACCACAGAATTTCGTACAGTTTAATGTGGGCGTAAAAGGGGCGGGGTTTAGATTGAGGACGCACTATCCGATACCAGATATGGCCAAGTACATAATCATTTGTACAATTTACTCAACATTGTGTTTTGATCAGCAGAAGTAATACAAAAATTCCCAAACTTTCTTTATATTAACGAATCATTCCATACCGTGAACTGTAAACCCTATGAGAAATGTAAATTTTAGGTTCAATAGGCAAACTGGTTGTGGTCCTACCTGTTGTCAATGTACCTTGTTACCTACGGACTCCATTCTCTATCCCCGCCCCCCCCCTGTTGAAATTGTATCAATTTAATATGCCTGAAGAAAGACATACTGGCATGGTAACTATTACTACTCCCCTCTCCCTCCCCCCATCTTCGAGTTCGTGGTCTCTGCTAATAATACCCAACCATTACCTTCCTGGCTCTTCTCGCTGCCTTGTCCGGTTATTCCCATCAGCCAGAAGGAACCTGCTATGTGTGTACCTAAGCTTATATGTCTTCAATTCCGTTCGCTACAAAACGCACAATTTTGATGGAATGGACTGTAGTGCGATACATGTCTTTACACAAATGCCACTATCCCAAGAGGTAATACGCTAAACAGACGATGCATATATTGTTTACAAATACGGGTAATGTTGAATGACAAGAACTATTTTCAGTACGGATTCTAAAAAAAAAAAAAAAAAAAAAAAAAGATAAAGAGCCCTGAGGCACTTTCAGAGGTAGGAATACATGGAAAAAATAAGGTTAAGCTTGTTAAGGACCTTCATACCAAATGCTATAGCAATGTTATAGAAGACATAAACAAAAGCACACGAAGTCAACTTTTCCAACGGAACACAAGGATGGTACTCCCAATTCATGTGCTCGGAACTATACAATGCAAACAAAATGGTCATAACGATAGCAGAAAAATAAGTATGAACAATACAGCTCTACCTTTTGTTCAGCATAATTCTTCTACAGCCTCTCGTTTTCATTAGAAATCATGAACAGATTCTTAGTTTTTGAATGAGTCAGATGATATTTCTGTCTTTCATCTTTCTCATCTTATTAGATTTTTAATAAGAAAACAAATATTCATATATCCATAGGGAAAACAGGACCATCTTACATTAGAGAAATAAAAGAGAATTCTTCTTTTGATAGCACGAAATGTTAACCACAAGATTCGGACGCCTTCTTAGACCATGCAGGTGAGGTGAATGACAAAGAAATGTGTAAAAATGCTCCGAGATTTATACTGACATTGAATATACATTTGATTCTCTCAATCTCTTCTCTGATTCATCAAAATCTGGAAATGTTATTGAAGAACCTGCTGCCATATCATCGCTGAAGATTAGTATAACACTTTTCAGGACTGTGATCGGTTCGTCCAACAAAGTCAAGTTCTCCACACGTCCGGTCTCCCAAAGATATGAGTAAGGATTTTCATTCATCTATCTTTTCATAGTGTGTGAAAGACAGAAAAAGAGAGAGAATAGTTGAGGGTCAAAGATAGTGAATGGAAATTGTGGTATTTTTACTTAGTAGCTACCAAAACACAAATCACGAGTCATTGTCTGAAAGAGGGAAATAGTTAAACAGTTAACACTTTTCA